CTGGCCATGTGTTGTGTTGTTGCGTCCACCTCTGGCTTGATTTCTTTTTTTTTCTCTTTCTCTCGTTTTCACGATGTACGAATACGTAGCTAAGTAATCGAGTGCATTTACTTGACCGTTCTTGAATGTAGAAAAAGTGAAAGTAAAATTTTGAATTTTGATTTTGAGCATGCGCGTTGACCGAACGAAAGAAAAAAAGTTTATACTGCATAAAATCAATACACTCGGTCTCTGTAAAGTTGAAAAAAAATTGTCTCAAATATCCTGCATTCAAAAACTTATTTGAATCTTCTTCTGTTGGTTGGTGCACATGTGTTCCTTACTTTCTAAAACACATATCGAAAATATTTCTTTCTATACTCATTTATGTGACCTATACGGTTAGTATTGGTCCATCGTTCGTTTCTATCGCACGTGGTTACTGTTTAGTTTCGATCTTGTAGTTTATCATAAAAAAAATATCATTATTTACAATTTGTTCCGATATGGAGAGTGGAAATAACAATGTCATCAGTGTCAAACCATGCTGTTGCAGTTCCTTCGAAGAATGGGAAAGCTACTTCAAACGAATGGATAATGTAGACACTAGGCGTCAACAATTTTGCGAGAGCCACCGAGGTAGGCTTTGTGAGCCGACTCTTTGGTGGAACGTTTTCATACAGTTGATGGGTTGTAAAAGTCTTTTTCCCAGTCTAAATGATATAGATTATTTTTTTAAGTACGCAGCGAGGAAAAGATCTATTCGGACAATGTACCTGCTCGAAGCGAACGACGTAAATATCCACGAGTACGCATTGGAAGATGGAAGATCGGCGATTCATTATTTATGCGACGAATTCGAGAACCGAGATCTATTTCATCTCTCTCACGAACATACCAAGAAATTCATCGATGTACTTTTGAAAAATCCAAACGAGAATCATCGAGACGCGCATGGCTTCACGTACTTTCATGCGGCTTGCATGATCGGCAACGAAACTACCGTTCTCCGATTCGTGGCGGAATGCGCCAACATCGATACGTACCGGCGCTGGCCGCTGCACCTGGCCGCCCGCTACAGGCACAAGTACATCGTGTACGTCTTGCTGGAGTACGGAGCCAATTCGAATCAGCCGGACCGCGACGAGCGATCGACACCTCTGCACGCGCTCGCCTATCGCTGCCCGTGCGACTGCTCCACGAACTTGAAGTACTGCGGCGAGAGAAAACCCGTGGACGAGATCGTCGGGATGCTCGTCGAGAAGGGAGCGAACTTGGAAGCGCGCGATCGTCGCGGAGACACGCCGCTGCAGTCGGCCGTGGCGCACTTCGACTCGGAGCTCGTCGGGGCGCTACTGAGGCACGGCGCGAGTCTGGACGCTTTGAGCGAGGACGGGATTTTCGACGCGCGATTCACGAAATTCGAACTGCGCAACTATCCGTTCACGCTGGACGTCATCGAGACGACGAGGGTATTGTTGGCGGCTGGCCACAGGCTCGACCTGTACAGTCGACTCAAGATGCTAAAATGTTGGATGCGAATACGCGCAAACGATATCGACCTCTTGTTTACGCAATTCGTTGGTAAGTCATTAAATGATACAAGTTTAATCATTACAATTTGCATTCAATTTTACTAATTTTTTTTGTCTTATTTAGAATATAAAAAGGATTCGCCTTACCGAGTTATTCCCAGCAACGTATTTATTCTTCGTGAATATCGTTTTTATATGGAACCAAAGACAAGATTATATTTGCAGCACCTTAAAGATCCATCCATATTACCAACGAAGGATTTCTCGCGTGAGAGCTTCCCCGATCTCGCCTCTGAATGTGATACTGAAATTGAGATATTGAGTAACATTTTTCCAGTCGAAGATGTCTCGCTCTACGAAATTTGTAAAATGAATTTCAACGAGGGTTATTCAATTTTAAAAAATGCAAAGAGTTGGTGCATTCCCAATGAAATTTTGCACGCCTTGAAGCACTTTCAGTTAACCGTAAAAAGACACATTGCAAATATTTGGATAAGGCCGCAATTGGAATTGTTCGTCGCAGACCTGTTCATGACGGAATATTGCAAATTGAATTTGCCCTATGATTGTTGCCTCGAAGTTGCCAAAAATATGGATTACGAAGAACTATTTCGTTTGTGCAAGCTGACAGAAAAACATCATCTAGAATATCCGTTGCGGCGAAGCGAACGGCTGCGAGCCAAACGCCAGTTGGATCATGAGGCTTGAATTGCATGCTCGCTTGAACTTGAATAAAAATCTGCTGTGATATCTTATACTAACACGTTGAGTAAAATATGTGTACATCAAACGTATATGTTAATGTCAATATGAATGAGCGGAAAAGTAAGGTCCTTGATTCGCCTACAGTTTAACCGTCTAAAAATTGTTTGTATATATTGTTACCTGTTACATTATATTGTTTATGATATTTTGATGGAATAAATTTAGTCCATATTTGATTGAGTAAGTTTTTGAATAAAATGTACACTATAATGAGTTTATTAAATCCCTATGACTCTATCTATATTGTTAAAACACTTTAAATTAAATATATATTTGATTTAAAATCAGACTTGAAAATGAAAGTAACCGCGATACTCTATTTCACGATACACTGATATGGTAATATTCCTTGAATATACTAAAGATTTTTAGTTTTAAATTAATTAAAGTCCTATGATCATCATAACAATAGTACACTTTTGAATAGTTTCGGCATGCGCAGTTGACTTATGTGCAAGCTAAAGGTGGGTTTACACTTTGATTGTCGAATATTTCCTTTGAAAAACTGTTTACATGGTATTAAAATTCTAAAGACAACGAAAATAACTTTTTTGTCGTCTGAAACTGCAATGTCGTAGTTCCTTAAATTATCTTTAGGGACAGCTATTTCGAATATCTCCTCGCTTTTATCCATTTTGGTGCCTGAATGAAACGATGGATTCTTGTATTCAGTGCCACTGTAATTGAACGAGTGGTAATGTATCTTTTGAATTTATGATCTGTTACATCGGGAAAGACAACATTCAAACTAATTTGTTTTTACTTTCAATACGATCAATGTGTCGCGGGAATATGTAAAAATCGTTATAATGATCATATTGTTTACAATTGAGGTACCGATTCATTTGTTTATATATTGTCCGTACAATATTTGAACCACTTTTAAAATCTAACTTGGTGATGATTTCTCTGAAGAATTTTTGTAGCCTTCCAAAACTTAGTATACTTCCAAAAAACTTCCTATAATATCGAGTCAATATAGATCTTTACACAATATATTATAAATGATAAAAATTTGTAAAATTCATTCGAAAATTGCTGCCGCTATTTTTTGCTGGCCCACGCCATGACATGAATCACGTACTCCATAATTCGCCACCGAATATTATGCAATCTTTTGAAAGCAAAAATAAACAAAGAATATTTGATTTTATATTCAAATTGGAACATTTGGATTCAGTTTGCACAAAATTCATGAAATTTAGTCATAATTACAGCTAGCATCACTAGATGGCGAGTACCTTTATAAGCAAATCTGCAAGTGACAGAGTAAAATAATTGTATAATTCAAAGCATAGATTCCATCATACAGATTTCCGCTGGCCACGACCTTTTTAATTAATACAAAATTAATTTATCCTATGAAATATCTGAATCAAAAGATAGATTTTTTTAAACCAATACCATTGTTGGTAATGTACGTTCATATTTGTAGGAATGAGCATTACATAAAAAGTCATGTTATTTGGTAATGGGTATTACGATAAAAAGTTTTAAAATGTTGATAAATCGTCTTTTCTAAACTTCAAAGGTCTTAAAACAAAGACTCGAAAGGTTCCTAAAACTCTGATGAATGTAAAGATATTTCTAGACAAGTTTTTAATGCTAGCACAATATAAGCGCATCATTCTTATAACTTCATGACAATGAATAATTCACACTCTGAACTAGAAAGTCATAAAATTTTCAATTCATCAATAAGGTCCTCGTCGTACAAAGATTTTTTTAAATCCCCTCGAGAATTTCTACCTACTCTCAATATTTACATCCCCGTTATATATTCGCTGGGTAACTCCCTCGCGTACTGCTGCTGCTTCTGCAAACTGACTGACCACTGCTGGCTACTAGCGTGACATTCTCTATTTCTGACAAGCTAATATTTTCTAACTCTCTTATACATACTAACACGCGCAGTCACACATGTGGAGAGATAGAGAGAGAGAGAAGACGTTGACATAAGTCTAGGGGATGTGCTCGGCCGCTCGGACAGTGATCTCCACTTTGCAAAAGACGAAAATCTACCCTTATAAGCGTCCATCAAGATAGAGCCAGATTCTCGTACTTGTTTAAAATTGTTCAAACTTTTCATGGATTGCCGTCAGAATTTTTTTAAAATAAATTATCACTGCAGACTATATTTACAAAATCAATTCGTATAACCGTTCTAAGACGTATTTCAAACAAACATGATTTTGAAATATAAAGATTGATTTTAAGTGAGCATGGTTTGAGCTCGAAAAATACAATGGTAATTGAAATTTTACAAACTTACATATGCGTGATATCAGTGCAAGGTATTTTAGTACAACTGAATTAACTGTCATCGGTTCAGGTGTGCTTATCACCTCGAGTTAGCAATATAATTGTTTTTCATTTTTCAATTTAAACTGATTATAGATCACAATAAGTAGTTATATTCAAGATTTTTGAATTCATCTTTTGGGAATTATTGTCAAAAGTTCAATCATATGTACGAAATTTCATTTGAAAAAAGCTTCTTTCATTGTTTGAAATTAATTACAAATACTTGTCAACATTTCTTTCATTTTTGCTTGCATTTTATTTAAATAAAATCCCACCGTGAAGCAAAATTGAAACAAAAGAGAATACAAATACTAAATATGATGATCGTTGGAAGTATAACGACTCTGAAGCTTCGATGGTGCAGATCGCGGCCTCTGTCTAGTTGTATCAGTTTTAATACTCTCAAGCTTGATCAAGATGTTGAAAATATCGTTGTTGGGTCTTCTCGTAGGACTGATTTTGAGTATTGCAGTGAGCGATGGTGAGTTTTCTTTCTTTTTTTCCCTGTTTAATCTATACGCTACATTGGAATAAACTGTTTTATATCCAAAAAAATCTAGTATCGGCGAAAATAGTGCAAAGGATTGTTGGCGGCCTGGAGGCTCCACCCGGACGTTTCTTACATCAAGTGTCTCTTCAAATACTCAACGGGGATTGTAGTTTTCATGTTTGCGGTGGCAGCATCATCGATGATTTGCACATCGTCACAGCCGCCCACTGCCTCACTAACGAAGTCACTCACGATTTCAACCATAAACAAATTACCGTCGTGGCTGGTACGCAAAATCTGCGTAACAAAACCTCTGGCATTTATCGCGACGTCCAGTACACCTACATACCTGCCTCTTATAAGTTGAACGCTCCTTTTCATGATATAGCAATTTTGAGGGTGAGTCGCCTGAAACTTTAAAAGAAAAATAACTTATCAAGTTTGCATTAAAGTATTTATTTCTAATCTTTTGACAATAGTTGAAACAACCGTTGCCTCTCAACGATGAACACCAAAGTAATCAAAGAATAAGGGCAGTCAAATTACCTGCTGTCAATCAATATCTGCCAGGCTATACTAATACACAATATGCCAGCGCGAGTGGCTTCGGTGTTTTCCAAGAACGATGGAATACTTATACTCGCCAAAAAGAGCAAAGCTTGACCAGTCCAACTCTAAAGTACACCTTTGGAAGGATTAACGTGGTCAGGAACGACTGCCTACCTACGCAAATCTGTGTTACGGCCTTGGACCAGCGTAGGCCGGGTGAGGATGGTGGCATATGCCAGGTACGTTGGTCTTATATTTTTTATTGACGTTAATTATGAAAAACAATTCATTCAAAAAATTTCACTGAAATTTCAGGGTGACAGCGGTGGTCCACTCACTGATGAATCAACGAATACCCTGATTGGTATCACTAGTCGAACCCTTAAGAGAGGGTGCGGAGAAATGTCCTGGTTCACTAGAGTCTCGTCCTTTGTAAATTTCATCAATAAGGTCGTTCAAATATCATGGCGAGGCGGTCTCGTGAATCCTAAATACATAAGTTTACATATTCAGAACTTTGATCATGCACATATTATGCAAAAGATTCCACATTGTTCATAGTTGAATGAAAAATTATGTATTCGTTGATGTTCGTCTTGTCTCTGCAGACTATATTTACAAAAGCAATAATACGACTTCCGTTGAAAAATCCAGGCTACCTCTCTCCCTGTTCCCGCGCACGTATAAGGTGAATGTCCCTTTTTGAGACGATAAGTAAAAAAATGTGTCCAGCCTAATCTCGAACGAATCCGAGCATGTGTGTCCCTTTGAAACGTACAGGGCTCTATATATACGCACGTAAAAGATTGCGGAACATAACATTGGGATATAATATAGAATCCACTCGCTGCTGCATAGATAGCCTGGCGAGGGCGAAGCAAGAAAAAGAAGGTCGTGAGCCCGTGTCCAGCAGACGGTGGACGAGAGAAACGAGAGAAGAGAAGAGAAAGAAAAAAAGACGGCCAATATCCGTGCAAGATCGGATATAACATATTCGAAGGTGCAGTAGCAGCAGCAGCAGCAGTGGACAGAGTCGAGAGAGCCATATACGGGGTAGCTCACAAGAGTATTTACAGTAGGGAGGAGTACAAAATCCGATTGACCGAACGAGCGAGTGAGCTCCATGCCCGCGCGCGTACGTGTACGTTCATATTGGTCCAAGCTCTCTCTCTGCTCCGTCTTTTTTTTCAGTCTCTCTCTCGCTCTTTATACGTACGTTTCTCTTTCGCTTCGACACCGGTACTTCTTCTTTTCCTTGATCCCCTTTTCATGTTTCGTACTCTCACGAAGGGCTGCTACTGCTGCTGCTGCTGCACAGCACAGAGGATTACTGGTTCCGGTCAATCGAATCGTCGGACATATTTTTCCTTTCTGCTCTGGCCCCGCGCGCTTTTCCAACATATGGATAGGACACGAGTCGATCTTTGTATGTTATTATAGTTATATGTGTATCAACTATACAAGAATACGATCGATTTTTCTTTAATCAAAATTATATTTTTATTAATATGAGCTCGAGGATAAAATAGGCACGCTCGTGTTGAAACGGTGACTAGTCGATTCGAGCGATTTCGAGCTTTTTCGCTTAATACACACGCACAGCGTCGAAAGAGATCAGCCGCGCGCAGAGAGGTCTTTTTATCCGCGCGACAGTCTTCGGGCAAGAGAAAAGAGTCTCTCTCTCTCTCTCGTTTGCCGAGGCTCGGGATTAGCCAGTAGATAGCGCGCGATATTTTCGCTGGTAATGGTGTGCGGTATAAGTGCGAGTACACCGCTGCTGCTGGTTCTGCTACGTACGCGGAACTGCGTCGTCGTCGTCGTCGTCGGCGATGGCAGCAGCGAAATGACATCGTCGATGAAAAGAGGAAAAGAGAGAGAGAGAGAGAGGAAAAGAGCCCAAGGAATGGAAATAAGTGACGAGAAGAGATAAAGGCTTAACGTAAAGAGCTTGCAGCCCGCCAAGCCCGGAGAAAAGAAATGGCTATGGTCTAAAGGTGTGTTACGCTGTACGCGCGTACGTATATAGTATATAGGTTTACCACTGGCGGTACACATGATTCGCGCGGCGGCTGCAGGAGTTTGTATTATACAAAGCTCGCGCAAGCTCCTACTTTCTGGGCTCTATCTCTCGAGCTATATGTATACGGTATAACCGCAGATGATGATTATACCACGTGTCGAGCGACGCAATTCGAAGCTGCGATTTCGAAACCACGCGCGAGCTTTTTCACCCGAGCAAAAGAAAGCGCGTTTGGCTTTCTTTGTGCTTTTAAAATCGACTCGATTTTTCCTGAAAATAATTCAGACTAAGAGAGTACAAATACCTCGTGCCACGCAGCCACGATTCGAGTTCGTTTTATTATTGTTCCTATATACGCTGCAAGCTCTGCAATGCGTGCATGCGCGGGTATTAAAACGAACGATCGCGATCGCGTGGTGTACTTCTTTTACCTCGAAAAAGAGAGCCGTGTACGCGAGAGACACGATGAACTTTGGGAATCATGCACGCGCAGTGCTGAAAAGAGAAGAAAGTAGTAGCAGCAGCAATGCTATAACAGGGAAGAGCTAAAGCGAAGGAGGAGGGTTGAAATCCAGCTCGTTTCGAAAACTAAATTAAACAGAGACCTTGTGGCTTTTGCTTTTTGGCATGCTACTGCTACTACCGCTACTGCTTCTGCTAGCGGCTCAACTGAAAACTCATTTATATGTAATCACGGAGCAAGTTTAAATGCATATCCCGCATTTAAAAAAGTAAGCTCGTGCCACCCTTCCAGCGCGCTTCAAGTCGCTGGCTGGCTGACTGGCTGGCGCGGCTTGACTCGGGCTGTGCCTGCACTCACGTCTCGGGCTTATTCCTTTTTTTCTTCTGCCTCTACGCTTCCGATTTCTTCCTTCTCTCTCTCTCTCTCTCTCTCATACACGCTCACTTTTTTCTACTCGACTGTGTGTGCCTTCGTTTCTATCGCTGCTTGGCGTGCGCGCGGTGCGAATCTTTCGGATTCATCCCCTTGAAGTATACGTACACGAGAGAATAAGTAAGTCGTAATACCACATATATAAATATCGCATTATACTCGCGTGAATGATACGGATTCCACGAGTTTTAAAACGACTGCGTTCGAATCGCGGTCGAGTGAGTTTCGACGATTACGACTATGTATATACGATTTTCTTTTGGCGACTGCCGATACATATAATGCGCTGCGCGATATATACATGCAATTTAATTAGAGAATTGACGTAGCGTATCACACAATATCAAGTTCGAGTACATACGAGCGAAGCATTGCTAGATTCATCGCACACACGTATTAAACACAATGTCTGGCGCGTGTTGGCGTGAGCCGAAAAAAAGGAATTGGGAAAGAAGACGGAGAGAGAGAGAGAGAGAGAGAGAGAGAGAGAAAAGCAGATACAAGTGCCTCGGCCTAGTATACATATACGTATAGAATAAATTGATTTCGTTGAGTCAACCAGCCGTAACGCCTCCCATTTACCCCATCGACCACCCCCCAAGGGCTCCGGGTCTGTGTGTGTGATATCAGGCTCACTCGCTTTCTTTCTCTAAGCCTCGGTTATCTTTATTTAAGCTTTACGAGAGTCTATATACACCCAAGAGAGACAGAGACGGAGAGTGAGAAAATCGAGGGAAAAAAGTCAGAGCGCCCAGGCAGCAGTGTCTGCAAAGTAGTGCTGCTCGAGAGCGTACAAGGGACTCTGCCGCGCTATGCGTATACCTTTATATACCTAATCTATCTCTTCACCGCGAGTCAGCCTATATTGTATACGCTATATGTAGCCATGTGGCTGTTGGCAGGCGTCCGTGTGTGAGTGTATATATGCTCTTGGCATCCCTTTACGCGAGTCATCTCTCTCTCTCTCTCTACATATATTTAGCTGTGTTATTCAATCTCACCCTCGCGCTGCAACTATATCGTATAATCTGCTAACTTAAATGCTCGCAATTACGTTATACGCATTTGCATTAATTCTCGTTTGCCGCTCGTAAATTTCTCAATCACATATCTCTACCGTATTCTCGTCTACTGAGGAACAACAGAAGTGAAGAAACATTATGAAATTTCGATATCTACGATGAATAATTATATAACTGAAATCGATTTGCCACTTGGAGGTTGAGGATGCGACATCTGAAGTCGATGTGCTAACTACAAAATCTGTAGCTTGAAAAATCTCTGAGCTGCACGCATGTATGAGCCATCGTATAAAAAATCCTTAAAATTCGAGGCTGAAGATTAATTTAAACATTTTCATTTGTAACTATGTGATAAGTTCCTTGAATGTTAATCATTATATGAAAATTATTTGAATTAAAAAAAAACCAATACATTTTTTACATTTTTTTCTGTGACGATTATCAACGTCCACTACATGCGTCAAGTGACAAAAATTCCAATCGTAATTTTAGGCCTTTTACTTTACGGATTATTTGACAGTATTGCTCATATTCATGCGCGTAGCTCATCTAGTTTCACGATATATCGTGCTATAGATGTTATAGTTAGTTCCTCGACTGCAGACGGCGTATCCAAATCCCCCAAGTGTTATAAATCAACTTCGGTTATGTATTCCTAATTTATCTAAATTTTCCATAATTAAATTTTGTCATAATGTTACTTTCAATGTCACGATCAATATGTTTTATCTTTTTCGTCGAAGCTATGTATAAACGAGAAACGAATGTACGTTTTAGGTATTACACGTGGTACGACGAGCTACGACGACAGGCAGCTATACACCATACACGAGACAAGCTCTTCCTCTTGGGTTACTGCAAATCCCAGTACTAGCTCTCTCTCTCTCTCTCTTTCTCTCGCTCGCTCCTCTCGAGTTAGAAGCTGCTGCTGCTACCGTCGTTGTTCGCTAGACCCGTTGACACGGTCGAACAGCGCTTTAATTAATTACCCCTTCTGCCTTTCCGCATATAAGCCACCGATGCGCGCACCTATGTACCATATACCACGTACGAGCTGTGTTACGTAGATCTTGACTAGCAGGATTTCTGTATTATTATAATATATGCTCGCTCGAGGCCCAGCAGTAGTTGTACCTGGTGGTAGTAGCAGTGTTAGCACGTGTACTTTGTGAATCAGGCGTTTACTTTGGCACCACGGTCTCCAGCGAGAGCAGCATTATGAGCGCGCATATTTTTTGAAGTGAACAGCACATTTGCACAGTTTTGTGGACGAAGATGACGTTGAATAACGGATACCGTTATTGCCGTATGAAAATAGTGCGTACAACACGCGCGGAGAATCAGCGAGAGCCAGCAGGAGAGGAACAGAAAAAAAACAAAACTCGAAGCATAATTCACTTGAGCGAAATTGACGGACGCACGAGGCCGAAAATCATGCAAAAAACCTGTACACGATGTGTGGCACCCGGGGGTCGTTCGTAGCTGCCTGCATATAGTTTTTCTGCGGTGTGTACGTTGGCTTGTGCGCGCGCCTTTTCGGTATACACCAGCCACAAAAAGTACCGCGGCAAAACATGCGCGCTCGCGAGAGCGTCATCGTCATTTCTCGCAATTTATTACATCGATACGTACACGCGGCCGTGTGGTACGCGCACAAAACGGAGAGTCGAGGCCGCAGAGCGCGCGACTCTATAATTGCGGCTGCGAAAGCTCGTGTACGTGTGCTGTTGATAACATAAATCCCATAGAGAAGAGTCCGTATACGGTTCGTTTGTGTGCGTAGTATATGCAAAAAGTCATGCGCGCAGCGCAGCGATGTTTTATAACGTTGTCTGACAGATGCACACGCACGTACCTACATACATAGAGAGACTGGAGCCTGAGCGCGTGGAAGCAAACAAAAAAAGCTCGCGAGCGAGCGGGAGGGCAGAGCTTACAATTAGTAAACATCATCGACACGATGACACGACCATTAATTCCTGTCCACTGCATTGATGCTGCTGCTGCTGCTGCTGCTGATAACACTGCAGAACCAACGTGCTGACTACTGTTCGCTACGTGGGTGTCTATAGATATGTATGCTAGGCAGACAGAGAGCAACCGAAGGGGGAAAAAAGCGTCACCTTTCGGTCGCGTACATACGTATAATAATATATAGTTCCTGCGCGTTGATATAGGCGTACACACACATACATACATACACACAGTTGCGAGACAGAGAAAGAGCTGGTATGCGGCTTTTAATGAAGAGCATCATTTCTCAAGAGTGTCAGCTCGAATGGTACACACACAGGCAGCAGCAGCAGCGGTAGCGAGTGTCGACGGGCGCGCGAGGCGGTGCGCTGGCGCTCGAATGGGGGATATGCGCGTACCGTCTCTCTCTCTCTCTCTCTCTTTGGCCCCCGAGAGATCTCGAGGGATGGAGGGTGGCGTCGCGCGCAAGAGGCATCCAGTGGCTTCATCAACGGATATTAAAGGATTTGCATGAAGTATCTGCACACGAGTGTGCTGCTGCTGCTCGCGAGAGCTCGTGTATTATATTATTGTCATTCCCCGATGGCTTCTTCGGCTTTTACACACACACACACATACAGATAGATACGCGCGCGACACGAGCCATTGTTACATTGCTCTACTCTCGGCCCTACGTGTGATACATGCACAGCATCGGCACGTTGTACGACTTGTGTATTTCGGAGACGATCGTGGAGTAGGTGTCGTCTATGTGTGCAGAGTACGATTCGTATAATAGTCGCGCATAGTCCGGGAGCCTCGATGTATGGAGAGAGCGCCTATTGTTGATTAAACTTGCACTTGTATATGATATGTGCGAGAGAGAGAGAGAGAGAGAGCTCAGAGAGCCTTGCCGGTGCTTTATTATATAATACACGATGTGACTCGCCAACTCGCATGTTTATGTATGATATTCGATAGATTAGCTCGTGTATTGTGCCTTGTATACACAGACACGTCAAAGAGATCAGCGCTCGCTCCATTGTGTCTATTGTAATATCGTCGTGCATTAGCAAAAAATATTACCAAGGACCCTCCGAAGATTCGAGAAGACTTTGAGAAATTGCGTGCGCTGTGCTGCGATCACACTCGGTAATGATTCCTAAATGAATCGAAAGTACCGGTCTCCTCGAACGCGAGGTGTTCTTTTTTTTCTGCTTTCCACGCGCCGACAATACCGCATTATATATATATATAAAATATCGATCGCTCATCGACTAGAGGTGTGCGTGCGTAAATGCTTTTCACACGGAAAATTGCAACTCATTGACGCGAGGCCCCGCGTGCGCTCCCAAGTGCTACACCGATCGCGCATACGCGCAATGGCTTTCTCGGCGACGACGATGCTCGTGAAAGTCCTGCGCGATAATGCGCGAGCGAACACAGCTAGCTGATACATAATATACGGCCGTGGTCAATCTGCAGCGTGCAGGCTGCTGCTATAATACGGCGAGAGATCGAGAGCGTATATAAATAACCGTAAGGGCGACGTTAAATTTTAATGGCGTCGTCAACGAAAGCTCACGCACGTACGTATATGGCTGGTGTAATGTATAAAAGATCATTTTGCGGGAAACGATGCGTCGGTTTATATATACTATATATATATATAAAATAACTTTTACCCAGAAGTGATCCGTGCAAACATTGAGTCTACGTGGTATATATAACGCACGCGTGGTTCGATGGTACTTAAGGATCCTTCGATCGTTTAATCGCGCGTCAATCGCGTGCGGGACTTTTACAATGCGTAAGAAGCTCACTTACGCGTGAGCGATATACTCGTGCACCCCTTTTAGCTCAGCAGCAACAGCCGCCGCGATCTTTTCTAATTAGCCCTTTTGCGCGAGTGCGCGAAATAATGAAAATTTGATAAGCAACAGCCGCTCTCTCTCTCTCTTACGTTAATACCAAGACTAAACACAGCAGCAGTAGCAGAGGGTAGTAGGTAGTAGTAGCTGTAGGCAGCAGCTCTCGAGCCTCGGGCGCAAAAACACTTGCGACAAGTTGTTTACGAGTATCCCAGGCATGCACAGCAGCAGCGGCGGCGGTGGCAGTAGCAATATGACGCCTTTGGATTTTCCTCGACGTGTATACTGCTACGTAACCCGCGCGCGAGACGCGTTAGGCGAGCCCAGAGCGCAGCAGCGGCGGCGCAACGCGTCGACATTTTAATAAGGGTGAATAACTTTGGAGAGTATAACGAGAAAGCTTGGCTGCTGTTGCTGCTGCTGTTGCTGCGGGATGAGTGACATTAAAACGTCGAGTAGTACCAGTATACGCGTATATAGCAACTTTACGAGCTGTGCGCGCGAGCCTCAATAAAAAGTACTTCTCTCCTCTCTCTCTCTCTCGTGCGCGACTGCGTATACGTGACTCGAGTCCACCGCTGTTGCCGCGCCTGTCTTCGTGCGCACGAGGGATGAAAATGCGTGTACGCGTGTATTGTAAAAACGAATTATTCTTATCTTATTATTCTTTTAAAATTATTCGTGTATTGCTACGCAACATCAAATTGAACTCTAACAATGATATCTCACCTTCTGGGGCAACGATTAATGAAACAAGATGGTATTGCGAGTGTGAAAGTGTAATATTCGTGCTAAAATGGATTTCGCACAATCACGATTTCGAAATAAAAAGATAAATTTTAATTGCGTACGGGTTGAGCTCGAAAAATACAATCGTAATGAAAAATTTACAAGCTTACTCATGCGTGATCACAGTGCAAGGTATTTCAGTACAACTGAATTAACTGTCATCAGTTCAGGTGTGCTTATCACCTAATGTAATTGTTTTTCATTTTTCAATTTAAATTGATTATAGATCACAATAAGTAGTTATGTTCAAGATTTTTGAATTCATCTTTTGCGAACTATTGTCAGAAGTTCAATCAGATGTACGAAATTTCATTTAAAAAAAAAGCTTCTTTCATTGTTTAAAATTAATTACAAATACTTGTCAACATTTCTTTCATTTTTACTTGCATTTTATTTAAATAAAATCCCACCGCGAAGGAAAATTGAAACAAAAAGAGAATATAAATACTAAATATGACGATTGTTGAAAGTATAACGGCTCTGAAGCTTTGATGGGGCAGGTCAAAGCCTCCGTCTAGTTGTATCAGTTTTAATACTCTCAAGCTTGATCAAGATGTTGAAAATATCGTTGTTGGGTCTTCTCGTAGGACTGATTTTGAGTATTGCAGTGAGCGATGGTGAGTTTTCTTTCTTTTTTTCCCTGTTTAATCTATACGCTACATTGGAATAAACTGTTTTCTACCCAAAAAAATCTAGTATCGGCGAAAATAGTACAAAGAATAGTCCGCGGCAATTATGCTTCACCCGACCGATTCTTGCATCAAGTATCTCTTCAAATACTCAACGGTTATTGCACTCATCATTTTTGCGGTGGCAGCATCATCGATGATTTGCACATCGTCACAGCCGCTCACTGCGTCACTAACAATGTCACGCACAAGATAGATAATAAACCGATTACCGTCGTGGCCGGTACGCAAAATCTGCGTGACAAAACCTCTGGCATTTATCGCGACGTCCAGTACATCTTCATACCTAAATCTTACACGAGTAACCCTCTTGGACAACAAAACGCCGATATAGCAATTTTGAGGGTGAGTCGCTTGAAATTTTCATAGAAAAATACTCATCAAATTTATATTAAATTTTTGACGTCTTACCTCTCAACAATAGTTGTATCAGCCCTTACCTCTTGACCATCCAAACATAAGGACAATTAATTTACCTGCAGACGACTCTCGATATAAGGCACCGAACTACCCATTCGCCGTCATGAGTGGCTTCGGCGTTTACAATCAAACTGTGAACCGATATAGTGGTAAGATAACAAAAGGAGGGTCTAGTCCATATTTAAAGTACAGCTATGGAAAGATCAACACCCTGGCAACAGGTTATGGAAATCAATGTACAGCCAATGAAGTCTGTGTCGCACCCTGGAATCCGAACAGGAAAGGTGAGGATGGTGGCGTATGCCAGGTACGTTGGTCTTACACTTTTTATTAATTATGAAAAACAATACATTCGAATTTAATACGAATTTTACTCTAATATCAGGGTGACAGCGGTGGTCCACTCACTGATGAAACAATAAATACTCTGATTGGCGTCGCCAGTACAACTCTTACGGAACAGTGTGGAATATTGTCCATATACACTAGAGTCTCGTCTTATTTGGACTTTATCGAAGCAGCAACGAAAGGCGGAGGCGCAGGAACGCTGGACTTCGAAGAGAGCGAATTTGTTAATGGATCAACGATGTGGAGATATCCTTTTTGCGAATAACCACGGTATTATGAATTTTCACCATTCTGGATTTGTTTTTCGATTTGCGATACTCAACTGTATAAAACAGTAATTTTTAAAATAAAGTCGTAATATTTTGTGTATATATTACCTAAATAACATTTTATACCCACAAATAAAATCATTTATATCATTTACGTACAGGATTTCGGAAATTGAATACCAGTTTATTGCAGCGGACATTCTTTGGCATGTGCCAAAAATGGAAACTATTGAATTGAAGTAGGCAAATCAACTTCGACTCGTTTATCCTCCCTGTCAGAAAAATCTATTTTAAATGTATTCGTTTAATTCTTAGAGTCTTCCAAGTCTTTTTCACGAAATTTTTTTTGAACATGGATACTTTGTATACTTCTTAAGGTTTTCTTTTTCTCAACATATATTTTTACATTTTTTACTCTAAAAATTTGATTTACAAAAAATTCATGATAAGAAAAAAAGTAACTACATCTGTGGCTTCGTATATAAGTATATAATGTATCACGAAGGAAAGGGATAGATGCGGTGGTGGTGGAGGGAGGGGGCATTGATGTGTGTGTGTGTGTGTGCTTGCGCGGTGCTCACAGGCAAAGAGCTGCCTCTCTTATATATACTCTGTACAAGTGAATTCTTAGGGGCAGTTTAGTACACCCAGAGAAAGAGAGAGAGAGAGAGAGAGAGGCGGCAGTGACGGTGGTGGTGGTGGTGGTGGTGGTGTGCGGCAATTTGCTTATTAACTCGTTGTTAGAGGAGACGCTCGGCAACTCGCCCCGTTTATGTCTGCGCAACGTCGCAATTAATTAAAATATTACCGAGCCAGATGGAGACACGCCTCTCTCTCTTTCTCTCTTATATACAATAAATACACACACCCGAGCTCGTAACAGACTTCCGAGATTGAAAGATATAATGTATACGTAGATACGTGTCTAGTGTACGCTACTACCGCTATATACGGAGAGAGAGAGGCGAGCGTCGTGCATACATACATATTAGCTATTTGTCGACGCAGTGCGATGGAAATTTTGTATAAAAGTAAACGCGATTAATTCGGACTCGAGAGCTTATATCGGCTGACTCTCTCTCTCTTTCGAGCTTGCACTGCTCCGTATCGCATAGACAGGCACAGAAAATTGTCAAGTCCCTCGTACGCGCTTACACACGTACACGAGCCTGAGAGTACAGAGAGCTGGTCGTTATACGCTCGATGGTCGGATTATCGGGATACCGCGCGCGCTCTCTTTCTCTCTCTCTCTCTCTCACACTCTCGGAGCCTTTGGCCCCGGCAACGCCGGACTATTATAACCGAAGGTTGTTCCCAAGGTTGTATCTCGAAACGTATACATATAGCACACACAGGCCCGCAGTTACTACTATTATACGTGTATGTGAGCATGACGCGAGCGCGGCTACATATAGCTACGATATTATAGTCTCTCAGACTCGGCGTGATATTGTGGTTTTCGGACGTCGGACGCTCGTCGTCGTCGTCGTCGTCGTCGAGCAGCACACACGCATTAAATAGAGATAGAGGAGGACGGGGGGAGCTTTTTGCGTGCCCTTTACAAAATTTCACTAAAACGAGTACTCGCAAGCTCCATGCGCCCTCGGCATTATCTAATTATCTGCTATTATTGCGGCTGACCGGCTGTACTCGCTCGCACGCACACGCAGTCGAAGAGCCATTGTTCCAGTTATAGTCCGCCACTCGTGTACAGGCCGAGGAAAATTGTGCTGTCATATGTGTATACGCGCCAATTATGGAACAGCTCGGCCGGTACATATAATAGGTCCATGTGATGCATAATGATTTATACACGTTTTTTTTGGTAAGGGATAGAGAGATAAAATTATCGTTTATTCATATAAACAACATATTGATATTTCCCGAGCGTATTCGAAAACTCGGTGAGTTCGAGAGATCTCTATACATCGAAGTGAAGAAACAATGGGAAACATCTAAAATGCGTATAGCCAGTATAGGATCGATGCTTCTCTCTTATGTATATAGGAGTCGCGAAGATATCGGAAAGGCTCAAGCGTATTATATACGTATAAAAACGATATGGACAACTGCTTCTTGGCTTCTTATCGAATTTTCCCTATACAAACATACCTCTATAACCACCCACCCCCCAACAGCGAAGAGTCTCCGAATCGAAAGAAATAGATTTCTCAGTCGGCGCGTTAAAGCCGACTCGATTTTTCGCTTCAGACCCTCTCGTTCGAAACATATCTTTCTCTCTCTGGACTCGAGAGTTAGAGTGAGAGAGAGAGTCGAGCATCGGTGGTTGTGCAGGGCGAATGTCGCGCGTGAGATTTTCATGCTATGCTATAATACGCATGTGCGCCCATCTCGCACAATTCATCCCAAAAGCAGACACTTTATTCTCGCTCGGTATTTTATGCTCATGTGTTATGCGAATATGGAGCTAGCGCAGGGAAAAGTTGACTTTCTCTCTCTCCTCCTCGCTCTCGGAGGGTTCCATAGCACACGGTATATTATGTATTATTTGGAAAAAATCTCCCGGACGCAGTCCACATCGAGTCGATATCATAGCGTTTTGCATATAGTATCGTCGTCTGCGGATAATTCAGTAGATATACGCAAGCTTTACAGCTAAACATAGGTGATTCGATGTTTGTATGGAAATGAAATCTATATAATATACATCGGAGAAATGGCCCTTCGAAGGGATCGTCTTTTCTTTTTTATTTCCTGTGCTGCAGCTTTCGAAAACGGCGAGTGTGTATGAGGGCCAGAAGAACAAACGAGCATAGTCGAGCGAGAGAGAGAGAGAGAGACAGACAGAACGGACGACAGAAAAAAGAAAGAAGAAGAGAGAGAGAAAAAGGCTTCGTCGAGGGAGTGTATAATGGTCAAAGCTCTCTCACTCCCTCTCTTTATTCGTCGTTGGACGGCGTCGACTACGACGACGACGACTCAAAGTCCCCAGCGTGTGAGAGGGATATATACGAGCAGACGGACATTTGTCAACGGCCATAGTATATTAGTATAAGCGGACGTGATGGAGAAACTTCTTGCTTCGGCCTGTCCTCGCGTTTTGTCTCTCCTGAGAGAGAGAGAGAGAGAGAGAGAGAGAGAGAGAGAGGGTGAGAATGTCGGCGAGAGCCGCGTCGAGAAAAGTCGTCCGACGATATTAAAGTACATCCGTCTTGCCAGACAACGTCTTGACGATTTCATTCATTCGATGCTGTGCGTGTGCGCAAGTTTACTGTATAATAAACCTACGTACACGATCGTTGCGACGAGCCAAACTTTTGGGTTTCGTAAAGGCTCGACAATCTTTTGCTTCAAGAAAAAAAATCTGGAAATCGGAGAAAAACAAACGAGCGTCTGCTCGGCTTGGAAGAATGTAAAGATATATCTCAATATTATCTTCGAAAAGCCGAAGCGAAAAAATAAAAAAAAGCTCGAGAGCAGCTATAGCTCTCGGATTTCTGGTTAAAATGTCGAGCGATCGTCGACCGAAGTACCAGCAGCAGCAAAGATACTCCTGCTACTATATGTATACGCGTTTGCTCTGGGGGGTAGAATTGCAACTCGTAGATACGTACGTATACATACGTGTACGCCATGAGCGCGCACCTATAAAAAAAAAGTCAACCTCGCGATCGTCAACCAGTGCGTACGCGCGCGGAGGATGCGATTCGCGCTCGTACAAGCGCTGCAGCACATACGAACTTACTGAAAAAAGTGGCGTGCACGTACACACGCACGCGGACTTGAAAATAAATATAAAAAAGAGAGAGAGGATAGCTCGTCTCCTCGAAACGAGAGAGAGAGAGAGAGAGAGAGAGAGAAGTGGGAGAGGGCTAGGTTATACGGCAGGGGTGTGTCCGCGACAAGGAACGGGCGGGTTGCCGCTGCTGAGTTGGCTTCTTCCTCTCTCTCTTTCGCTCGCTCTTTCTGTCGTCGGAGCTTCCCGGCGTGGATCGCGCGCGCTCGCCAAGCGAACGAGAGAGAGAGAGAGAGACATTGTTCGACGTATATAGGATAAAAGCTCTGCCGCGCGCGCGCCTTTATTTGATTACCGCTCGTTCGTATGTATGTATGTACGCAGTTTGTGCTGCAGCTTGCGCCAGGCTGCCATTCGCATTGTGTATAAATGTGCATCGATGAGCTTTTCAAATGCTCCCCGCTACGATATGCACATTGGAATAATTTTTTTTCTTCTCCTTCTCTCCTCCTATATCTGTTTTTTTGTCACACCCGAATACGCAGTCCTTACAGTGAATATAATAATTACTTACCTGTATAAAAATCCATAATCTATCGAACAATTGTATTCAACTTCTTGTTGAATTTATCTTATAACACGCGGCAATCATAAAGGAAACAAAACCACTAATTAGGTGTCACGGCTATTTTACAGGTTATTATATTTACGTTTCATATTTGTAACTACTTTTAAACTGTTGCAATAAAAAATTGAACACTTTTATTTCAAATTTCATTTATTATCAAATGCATAAGAAGAATTTATAATGATCTTATTGTTTCCTTCAACTGTCAATGACTCTGGTATGGTCCTGACTATTCTATATGATGACAATGACGTAAGTTTTAGATATTTGAGATAAAAAGAATTTTATTGAGTTTGGATAATCATCATGCAATAAGATAACGCTGTTTTCATTAGCTGAAATAATAATGTATTGAAAAGAAAAATTTCAATTCAAATAAATTCGTCTCAGATTAATAGGAAATTTCAAATACCTTGGAAAAAGTTTCAAGATTTAGGTTAACCATTTTACCAGCCGTCAGATTGCAAGGCTCGACGCTTCTATTGTAAAGGACTATGAATAGTTTCCTTATTTGTATTGGATACTCGTACCAATTGCGGTGTATTCTGAAATGATACAGATTCTTCGAATTGCGTGTGAATTTGGAAATGATTAACTTACAATTGTTCATACACCCGAAGGCTTCGATCGTGTACGCTTTGTCCACAAACATTGGTTAAACTCAGGCGAAAGATGACTGAACCGGCCACATAAGTATACCTGAATATGTCTAGTGGAGACTCATCTGCAATATTTATGACCTACAAATGCAATGAAATGCTAAGAAATTATGTAAAATATGCTTGGTCCAATATCGTTGATTTTTCACCTGCGATCCGCATACACTTATCACGATTGTATTGATCAATAGCTGTATTACATACTGGATGCAAAAGAAATCCTCGACTTTTTGTGCAAATCTGAGTTTTAAAAGCTTGGATTGATAAAAACTCGGAATGGCATGAGTATAGTAATTGAACAAACTTACTCAAGACACTTAAGATGGTACGTCACAATTTCCTCAATTTTTTCCAAAGCCAACTGCTGATCATAGGAATAATTATAAAGTTCAGTGTCCATTTGCTCGATTTTGTGCCTGAAATTCTCCCAAAAAATTCAAAGGTCATTGCCCTGGTAAAAATGCTTAACATTTTATGGCTATAGTTTTTGATCTATGAAAAAGTTTCATGAACGTAAGAAAGCCACTAAAACTACACAAGGTCAATTAAACTGCATTCGTTAATTCAAATGTTATAACATTACCGTTAACTTTAATCAAAAAAGTTTACGCAGAAATGAATCAAATTATGGCATATTATGCAAGAATTATCGCTTATATATCTTCGTTCACTTAAATTTGTCAATTATACAAATATGTTTTGCTAACCACTTGCAGATTTACAGAAAAAGGTACTCGCTATCTAGTGGTAGCATAAGCTTGGTAAATTTTCGAAAACAATAAAATTGTCATTTTCAAGTTATTTAAAATGCGCTCAATAATTGTAACATAATTGCTATAGAAAAGTCGCCAAAAATTAGCCAATTAATGAACCCTGTATTTCAATTTTAATTTAATATTATTTTTTTATCACCAGGCCATTAGAGCATGCAAGAATGTTAAAAACAAAATTTACAGCAAGACAGAGAACATTCCACAGCAATAGAGCACTATCATGATGAAAAAACAGTCGTAAGCCAAAAGTATCCAAATCGCCACAAAGGCAATTATGATCCCGTGAATAAATAGAGGCCAGTAGTACTCGACGGGATCCACGAATAACTCGGCCTCAAAGATATTTCTCTCGGGTATAGTCCAGTTGCCCGTGAAGTAGTAATGCAGCATCGAGGGCATCAATGCCGATACGATATAAGACAGAATAACCAAATAGTAGCTGACTAACAAATGAAAATGTTATTATTGTGCGATAAACGTGACAATATATCTATACTTGATAGGCCGACGGTGAACATCTTGCCGTAATTAGCATACGTCGCAAAAATTGTCCTCTCATCGTCGCTCTGTAAATCATTCCAATTCTCTTTCAAGGAATCAAACAATTTTTTCAGCTAAAAATGTCGTGTTCGTGTTACTCATTGATACTCGCTATCTTTTTATTGTGCTTTTACCGCGCCATTGTTCAGGAGGCCATTGACCGATGAATTGAAACCCATAGATGCACAAAGATATGTCATCAAACAGTAGATTACTTCTTTCTTTCTATCGATTATGACAATGATGTGAATCAACTACAACATAAAAATTTGTTGACGGCAAATAGTTAATAAATCAATTGCGAGCCACCTTATTTACCTGAGGTATCCAGACGGTAAATAAGGCCAAATTAATGGCAAGCCACATGAGTTTTCTTTTTCCTGGAGTGAGGTAAGGCCAGGCACCAACTATTATCAAGTACTTCTTATTTATATGGTACGCAGAGCTATCAAAAATTGAATCATCTATATTTTGGTGTACTTTTAACATTATCGTTTTTATCTCTGGATTTTTAGAAAATACTCGTATTTCTTTTATGAAAGGTTCTGCGTTAAATGTTACAATGACTGAATGTAGGAAACAAATATACCTCATAGTCATAGAAAGTTGAAATGTATGTTATTCTCAATTGTTGTTAATAATAATGGTTTCTATAACAATTGATTTTTTATGATAATGAAAGACTATAAGAATAATTGACTTTGTAAAGCTGTTGTAATTCACGATAAATTGTACTTCATGAAGTTATTGTTTCTCTTTAAATTATTGCAATATCGATCTAAAAGTAGGGTACGACTTGGATTTACATTCAAGCATCGAGCACCGAAATTCAATATCACAAACTTCTTTACAATTTCAGATTACTGGCGCATCAAACAATGCATTCACCATGTCAGATACAAGGAAATTTTTTTGGTCGGATGAGTTGACACTCGAGCGAATATTTTTTTGTATAAAAGAGCTTGCACGCGAGCTCGAGGTATACGCCATATAGGTATACATAATTGCAAAGTGGCGCGCGAAACTTTTCCGTGTACTTACGCGATGTAGCACGTAATATTGCGCACTGTGTTTGTACGGAGCAACGAGTCTAGAGCTCCAACACATAGACATATGCACACTAACATACACTCGAGCATATTATGTTAGTCGAGGTATACATAACGTACGTACGCAGGGTCCAAGGCAAATGAATGGAGCAAATGTAAGCATGCCCCAAAGGAGCTTACTTTCTCTCTCTCTTACTCGCTCGCTCTTTGTAGGGGTGCAGGCAGACCAAGTAACAGATGAGGCATTAGGTATCCACTAATGGGCTACTGACTCTCTCTCTCTCTCTTTTCTTGTTCTCTCAAAGCCTGGGAGCATGGCTTGGCGTTATATGCACATTTCTACAAATCATTACTTTTAATTTGCCTGCGCTTGTATCTCCATTCGTTATATCTGTATCTTGTCTACTCTGCCTGTCTGATATATAAATACAGGGCTCAATCGAGTCGAGTTGCGCATCGATCGCACCCGTAAAGTACCCAATCGCACCCGGTATCGATGAAAAATAGCAGAATATATTATCGAGAGCTCTGCGATATCTATGTTGTGTGATTATGAATTTTTAATGAGGTGCAGATGTCCACGCACACGCAGGACCAATCAGGAAAAAAAGCCCAACGCGTTATTATAATACACGCGCTTTTGCGTATATAAACAGCAGCAGCACAAGCTCCAAAACTCCACCCATAATTCCCAAAGCCATTTAGAGAGCAGCGGCGCGTCGAGGCCCATTGTGTTATAATACTACTAGTCGCGAGGAGAGCGCGTGAAACTCTGTCTCTCTCCATGCTCGCGTATATAAGTTGTAAATTATATTGGAAAGCGATATGGCGCTCTCTCGCTCGCTCGCTCGCTCCATACATACATAAGTTGGTGCTGCTACACACTGCACAGGACAATTGCCATTGATGCGGTGATCTGCGGCGGGCGCGCGCGAGGAAGCGTTACAAATTTTTCAAAGCCAATGGCAAAGCTCCGTGGCTTGTGTGTGCGCGCGTGTGTGTGTATGTACGTATGTATAATGAGAAAAGTAAAAACGAAAGAGAGACATTATCCAAACTGCAATATACAGAAAGAGAGAGATAAATACCAACAGCTGCTGCTGTTGCTACTGCCACTTTTGCAAAAGCGACTCAGCGGGATATATCTCGGGAGAGAGAGCTTGATACGCGACGCATCCACGCTGCACTGCTCTCGGCGGTAGGTCGCTCGCACTATACACGTATCCTACATGTGCGAAACGAGATGCGGTCCTTTTTAACTCGGCAGCTCGCACGCGCACACATACAGATATGAATTCGTACGTACGTATATGCGTGTATATGATAATTTTTCACCGAGGTGCGATCGAAGCGAGATGAGCAGTATGATATGTGCGTTTAATTCTTTCTTTCTTTCGTTCTTTCTTCTCGTTTCAATGTGTCGCTTTTTTTTATTATTAGCTTTTGACTCGGAGTTTGGTTGGTTCGCACGTCGTTCGTTATAGCTGGTAGAAGTGGTGTTTTCTCTCGGTCGCTTTGTCGCAGTACTATGCCAAATGCACACCTGTGTAAAAGCTGCTGCAGTTACAAATGGAACAAACCGAAATTATAGAAATTTTGACAACCCTATTTTACGCGTGAGTTAAATATACACTGAATAAAATCTTAGGTTTAAATCCAGCAAAAGTGGACAGCTGGATCAGAAAAAGATATTTTGCTGACACAGCAGAATTATTGGACTACTAGTGACTTTCAGGCGCGCTTCGCGCGCGTACATTTTTCAGCCAGTTTCGAAAAAGTTGCTATTTTGACCGTAGATGTCACTTTATTACGTTTCGACTCGAGTCAAAAGTCAGTCGACCAATCAGAGGCCGAATAGATTGGCTTCACTTTTAGGGTTATCATTATTTTAAGAGAGGAATATTCGGCTGCTAAATTGTGCAAAATTATTTTACTGTTGCAACAAAATATCTTTTTCTGATCCAGCTGTTCACTTTTACTGGATTTACCCGTGAGATTTTTTTCCGTGCATTTCTCAATTACCTACCCGACCTAGATCGGGCAGGCAGAGATAGCTTCGAAGCATATAGCAGCTTCAGACTGTCCCGAAAAAGCTTGCAAATCCCTTTAGCGATCCCTCCTCCAAATAAACGAATAAACAAACAAACAAACAAACAAACAAAAATAGACAGATATAGAAAAAAATGCCCCTTAACGACGTTATTACAGAGCAATTTAGAGTCACCCTTACAAAAAAAAAACCAAAATGACGGATATTTATACATTATCATGGCCGTGGCGGTTGTAGCTTCGCACAATAATACACCGTCATTTTTATACGTACACGTATAAAATAATAATAATATTAATAATAATAATAAGAGATCATGCGTGCGTGTCCGCTTCACGCGCCAGAGAAAGAAAGATAAATGATGTTGCACGCATACACGCAACGAGCAAAGAGCTATTACAGACAACAACAACGGCAACAACGGCGTAGCAGAAGCTACAGCAGCAGCAGCAGCAAAAAAGAAAAGGAAGAATGGCGCTTGCTTGCGGTGGTTAAGGAGCTGCGCTCGTGCAAGTACAGTCAGTCGAAATAGGAAAGAAAGAATATAAGCAATGGAGGATATGGGAAATATAACAGCGGGCCATTTTGTTTGGCCAATGGTTATACACACTTTGGTACATGGTATAAATGCACGTTGGTACAGAGCACACAGACAGGGCCGAGCGAGAGAGAGAGAAAGTTGAATATCATGAATAGAAGACGAAACGAGAAGAATATCTCGCTTATTCGAAAGAGAAAGAGAGTAGGGGGAGGGAGGGAAAAAAGATCAGAGAGACGAGGGGAGGGGGGAACATCGACGAAAGTAAAAAAGATGTAGGCATTAAAAGAGATGGCAAAACTCGTTTGTATTGTCGGCCAAGGCGAATAATGAAGCGTAATTGATCATTCGATTATATTCGACTGCTATATACACGGCGTGTCGGCTGCCGCGCCGTCGTGCTGTGCAGTTGCTATACTACTACTACTGCTGCTACTACTACTACTACTAGTGATGCTACTGCTGCTGTTGGTCTGTGTAATAATATTAAGCGCCCATGCAATACTTAACTACTGCATCACTGCGGGCTTTAGAGAGAGAGAGAGATCGCAAAGCAGCTTTTACGAGGCTAATGCGCCCATGCGCGGCCCCGCGCCGACGAATGAAATGAATGAAATGGGGGAAAAAAAGGAAAAAGAAAGAAGGTAATAATAATGGTAATCGTATCATCCGATGGATTTTACGACCTACGCGCGTCACGCGCACACCACGTACTGGTAGCATATATTTTCCAAAAGTAAAAATATCGTTCCGTACCTACGTCTCTAATCTCCTCGTCTCCAAGTTTTTGCGTACATAAATAACAGAATAAATAGGTCTTCCAAAAAAACTTACTCATATAGCCGCACCGGTAAACGTTGTATATTATAATACCGACGAAAGTTCGGTAGTCGAAAAACATTTTAACAAAACCATTTAGTGAGCGATAAAGACGCACGCAGCAGCTCGTTAGATATACCCCGAAACGTCGCCGAGAGCGGCGCGAATATCTCTCTCTTTCTCTCTGTTGCACCTTTTTTTGTATTTTTTTTTATTTTCGCGCGATATCCCGCTGCGCGCCAGCCGGTATCTTTTCTCTCTCTCGCTCGATTCTCCTTTCTCGCCTCGTGCGCGCGTGCGTATATATGAATGTGTAGCATAATACAGATATAAACATAACACAAGAAACTTATAACTCGCGCGCGCGCGCGCCGTTTAGAGATTAAACGCAGTCATAAATAAAAAGGACGAGCAGCGGGGCGAGATAGATAGAGAGTGCAAGAGAGAAAAAAAGGAGCTTTTGTGCGCCTGTGTATGTGTGTATATATCTCGCGCTGAGACTGACACACGACTGCTGCTGCTGTTGCTGCTGCTGCTGCTGCTGCTGCTGTTGCTGCTGCTGCTGCTGCTGCTGCTGCGATGATGCGCCCGCTGTAGGTACGCAGTGCGGCGGCATTGTGCGCGCCGTTGCGTGTGATATTTCAATTTTGTGCTATGGCTATACAGAGCTCCCGAAAGCCTCTGGCAAATTGATTTTTTTGAATATAACGAATATTGCGGAACGTAGAACCCAAATATCGTACACGTAGGACCTCCCACGCACGAAAATAACAGCGTACCAAAAAAAAGCTCGATATAAGCTCGTAAAATTCACTCGGTGCAATCAAAGAGCTATATATGTTCTCCGTACGACGTGAATCCTATATTCTACTCGTTTCAGTCGGTCAGCGAAGAATTTTCTCGTTTACACTTCACGTCGTATTTATTATAAGTTTTCGCGGAAGGAGCTTTCGTCTCGTCTCAAGGCAAAACCCGCAAGTCCTCGCGGTGAAATCGAAATATTCTCATTTATTATCATAAAGAGAGTGAGAGAGAGAGAGGCGGACGCGAAAGATGTGGAATAATTTGTTGCATCAACTTCTTTATATAA